AATTTTACTGTATTAATGTGGATGTAAACTTTTAATGCTCCATTGCTCCACAGACATTTGGAGATATGTTTACTCTGTTTGTATAGTGATCATCTATCCTTTCAGAAGAAAACATACATGTATATACGCACACACATACCTATATGTGACAAAATACCTTCCCACCTCCCTCCTTCATGTTAGTCCTAGAAAGAGTCATAACAGGTTTCCCTACTAGAAGGGCATGTCACTTCTCAAGGTCACCATTTTCTTTATAGCAGTGGCTGATACCTTTTGTACTCCAACTGCATACCACCAGCCAGTTGTCAATGTTACTTTCGAATTCCATGAATAATCATGAAGGAATTATCAGACTGGATATGTTTCATCCTATATTACCTCCAGATTTTGGAAACATCTTAAATATACTGCATAGTGTAAAATGGTGCATCCATGGCTTTCTGTAAAGAACTGTTATCAAGTAAATATATGTGTGTAATTAGTGATAGTCGTGTAGTTGTGAGTAAATCAGTACACCCATTTATAATTTGGATATACAGAATTTATTCACACCTAACTTACACGAGACCAGACATTAAACATATCCCCAAAATACTTATCCATTTGAAATAAAAATTGCAGCACAGTACTTAACAAAACAAAACAAAACAAAATAAAACAAAATAAAATAATAAAATAAAATAAAATAAAATAAAATAAAAAATAAAATAATAAATAAATAAAATAAAATAAAATAAAATAAAATAAAATAAAATAAAATAAAATAAAATAAAATAAAATAAAATAATAAAATAAAATAAAATAAAATAAAATAAAATAAAATAATAAAATAAATTATGTTTTGTGATAACAAAGGGTGGTCATACTTTAGTTTGCTGCAATAATATCTTGTGACAATTTTACCTTGATAGGCAGCTAAACTCCACCACAACCACTCTCTCATTGCCCCTCCTCATAGGAAGAGGGGGAGAAAATATGATGGGAAAGGGCTAAAGCACTGGGATAAGAACAAGGAGATTGCTCACTGATTACAAACGGCAAAATAGACTCAACGTAGGGAGATAGTGTTGCCTACTGCCTATCACTAGCAAGCTAGAGCACTGAGAACTAAAATCAAAATGAAAACACCATTGCCCCATCCACTGTCTTCCACCTCCTACCCCCCAGGCAGCACAGGGGAACGGGGAATGGCTGCGGTCAGTCCCTGATGCTTCGTCTCTGCCGCTCTATCATGGTCACTCTCTGCCCTTACTCCACATGGGGTCCCTCCCACGGGATGCTGTCCTTCCTGAACTGAGCCTGCAGCAGCTGCCCACAGGCTGCAGCTCTTCAGGAACTGCTCCCACATGGCTCTGTACCATGGGGTCCATCCCCCAGGAGCAAACTGCTTCAGCACAGGCCCCCATGGGTGGCAGCTCCCCCCAGACTCCCTGCTCCTGCATGGGCTCCTCTCCACAGGCTGCAGCTCCTGCAGGGGCTCTCCATGGGCCACAGCCTCCTCCAGGCCACATCCACCTGCTCCATCAGGGACTCCTTCCTCCTTCCCAGGCTGCAGCATGGAGATCCATGTGGGACCCGTGGGCTGCAGGGGGGACAGCCTGCTCCACCAGGGACCTCTCCACGGGCCCCAGGGGAACTCGGTGCTGTGTTCCTGGAGCGCTTCCTGCACTCCTTCAGCACTGACCCTTGTTAGCAATACGATCCCCTATGACTCCTTAGCACACCTTCAACCATTGAGACTGCACATGCTCAAGAGCTACCCCCTACCAAAACCTTGCTACACAAGCTCAATACACATCAGAGGCAAAATGACATAGAGCGCTTGCATCACGGCCCATTATGAGCATGACACAACGTGACAAGCAATGCTTTTTCCAAAATGACCTACAAAATGAAAAGGCTTGCTATACCAGTCCTCAGTCACAGAATTGCACAGTCATTTTTTTCTCACAGTTCAAGTTACTGCCCACCAAAAGTAAACAGGCAGCAGACTGAAGCTCTGTATCTCTCATGGGCCGCTAAAGGATACCATTGCTCATAAAACAAAGCTGTGGTGGATGAGAAGAGGGCGTATTAGTAACACAAGAAAAAAGGAGCATTGCATCTGATCAGCCTGGAGTGATCTCATGAAAAATGCAGGAAGTTTGGGAGATCTGCATAAGTACCTCAATACTGCACTGATATAGTGCATTCAAAGTGTAGTTAGGGCCATCAACTGTTACTGGTGAGCAAAATAACTGAGTATCATGATGTAAGAAAATTACCTAATGGTAATCGTGATTTCTGAGGAAGCCCTTCTGAATTAATTTAATTCACCCTTATTTATATAGACCTAAGATGTTCCCTTCTGGTCAGAAAATTATGCTTAGTTTTAAAATTAGTTTTTAGATTACTTTTTTTTTTCTTTGAATCATTTTTCTTTCAGAGAGAAACCTAGGCCCCTTAAATTGCTTACATTTAAATTATTTTGGATATATCCAAGGACATTCTAAAAAAAACATTTTCTCAGTATACTTAAATATGCTAAACGTTAATTAGATCCTCGATCTCAAGAAATGTGCTTGAGTGTTTTAATCCTGAAAGAGTTTTGTTATTCTTATTAAGACAAAAGATTTTTCTTGCAAGTAGATTTAAGTAACACATTGCTGTTCTGTGTTCTGCTACTCTTCCTTTGATTTATTTTTTTTAGTGGAAAGCAAATAAAAGTTACAAAACACTAATTAAACAAATGTGTCTCCTAATATGGTAAATTTCTCTTCTAATTAAAAATAAAACAAAATGTTTTATTAAGTAAGGACAAATTATTTAAGGCAGCAACACCTTTTTACCATGGTACAAAGTTGCAACTGCCTAGATAACTCCTGAGTGCTATATTGTACTTCTGGTAAAGATGCAAGAATTGAAGGCTGACATTTTAAAACCCAAATCGTTAGATGCTTTCTTTACTAGCATTTTACTTGACTGCTTTTAATTCCACAAAGTTGATATATGATAGTGAAGTCTAGCACACAATAAATTTCACCCTGAGTGGACAGAGGTGCTGTCAAGTCTTATCATCTTTAGAATGAAGGCAGAAGACCCTGGCAAAATTCACTTCTAATTAAATTTTACTCTCCATTGAACACTGCTGAAGTTCACAGTTGCTGGCAGCAGAGGAAAGCCTAAGGCTGTGGTGCTATGCCTGATACATCTACTGCTCCTTCTGCGTTTCTGTAAACATCCTTGTAGCTTATCACCTCATCAAAGCTCCAAGCTTCATTCTGAATACACTAAGAATAAAACAGGCATGGTATATGTTGCTTCTGGATCTAGATAAAAGTCAAGTGCAGAGTGAACCTTTCTAAATCCAAGACTTACTTGTTTTAAATTATGGATAATGACACAAACCTTGAGGACAAGTATATAATATTAAATATTTACACAACTCCCTCAGCTGCTATAAATAGGTGTTTTAAAACTCTGTTTTGTTCTACTTTTCTAAAGTAAGAGAATGTACATCCCATTTAAAGGGCAGGAAAACTGTCAATCTACTCCCTACATGGAAGAAGGGGCAAATAAACACAAATGCTTCTCCATTAAATACTTTTTTAACATTCTGCTATATTCTGATGCTTGTGGTAATGAAATAGGAAGTTGATTGTGATTTTATTGCGGTGTTCATAACCCTGTGACTGTTACACTGTGTTGACACTGTCTCAGGTGCCTGTTTTAACTTTATATTTAGGTTGTATTTTTCTCAGGGCAGGAAATGTTGAAGCTATGAAGCTACCTTGTACAAAGAGACACCAAATCATCAGGGTTGTTACAGGTAACAAGTTACCAGAAAAACAAAAACAAAAAAATGTTACCCTATGAGAAAAGTTGGTGTGACCCTTATTTGTGAATTGTGGGAAAGTTGTCTGAACTTGCCCTTTTGGAGGCCACCAAGAAGATACCATCACCAGAGGAAGAAGGGAGGACTGGGAGGACTTTTGAGAACATAGTTAGCTCCACGTCATTCTCTCTCAAATTTATTTGTGGGAAGAAGCAGCTTACACAAGAAACCTTCATGTGAAAAATGCCTTACTTTACTATGTAGCCCTAGACAATCTTTGTGTCCGAGAAGTAAAAGCTGACATAAAGTTCAATTTTCAGTTTCCATAGCTCCTTCAACAAAATCTTTGACTGTCTACATCCCCTTCATAGCAATATATATCATTAATGGGGATGCTATTATTTAACACATTTATAAAGCTTAGAAAGCTCATATTTTAAAATTTGGATATGACAAAGCGTCTAGAATTACCTTTTTATTATTGTTCCTGATAATTATCCAAGTCAGAAATTTGAACCCAAAAAATGTGCATTTGCCTTTTTAGATTGTAACAGATGGATAAAAAGAAAGTTCTCTCAGGAGAGTGATAATAAAAGCCAGATGAACAGAATGCTTGCACATTCAGAGTCCTTAGCCAGTTAAGAGTAGTCATCACAACTGTCCACCTGTTTTCGCTTCACTTGGTGGTATTTCTCTTAAATATGAGCAGAAGTATAATACAAGAAGTACGAGTAACTGACATTACTACCTGGAGTAACTACCTGGACTTGTGCAAAGCATTTGGCACTGTCCTGCAAGACATCTTTGTCTCTAAATTGGAGAGACATGGATTTGACAGATGGACCACTAGGTGGGTAAGGAATTGGCTGGATAGTCACATTCAACGAGTTGTGGTCAGTGGCTCAATGTCCAGGTGGATATCAGCAATGAGCGATACCCCTCAGGGGTCAGTACTGGGACGAGCACTGTTTAACATCTTTGTTGGTGACAAGGACAGTGAGATTGGGCGTACCCTAAGCCAGTTTACCAATGACACCAAGCCGAGTAGTGCAGTTGACACACTGGAGGAAGGGATGCCATCCAGAGGGACCTTGACAGGCCTGAGAGGTGAGCCTGTGAAAACTTCATGAGGTTCAACAAGGTCAAGTACAAGGTCAAGGCAATCCCAAACATGAATGTAGTCAGGGCAATGAGTGGATAAAAAACATCCCTGCAAAGAAGGACTTGGGGATGAACAGATCAACATGAACATGTGCTCACACCCAGAAAGACAGCTGCATCCTGGCTGCATAAAAAGCAGCATGACCAGCAGGGCAAGGGAGGTGTTTCTCTCCCCCCCACACCCCTCCACTCCTGTGAGATTCCACCTTGAGTCCTGCATTCAGTTCCAGGGTCCCCAGCACAAGAAGGATGTCAGCGTATTAGAGCGAGTGCAGAGGAAGGCCACAATGATCAAAGATCTGGAGCATCATTACTATGAAGACAGACTGAAGGAGCCGGGGATTGTTCAGCCTGGAGAAAAGAAGGTTCCAGGGCGACCTTATAGCAGCATTTCAGTATTGAAAGGGAGCCCACAGGAAATCTGGAGAGGGACTCTTTACCAGGGAGTGCAAAGGGTAATATTCTTAAACTAAGAAAAGGGTAGATTTAGATTAGATATTAGGAGGAAATTATTTACTATGAAGTAGTGAGGCACTCTTACAGAGAAGCTGTGGATTCCCCATCCCTAGAATTGTTCATGACTAGGTTGGATGGGACTTCAGGCAACCTGATCCCTGATCTAGTGGGAGGTGTCCCTGTCTTTGGCAGGGGCTTGGCAGGGATGATCTTTAAGGTCCATTCCAACCCAAACCATCCTATGATTTTATGAAGTTAGTACTGAGGAATAATCTTGTGTATAAAAGGGTTGTCCTGGACAAACTTAACTCTAATATTTTAAACTGCTTACCATTGGGTTTCTCTCCTCTCCACTGCTAGTATACTTTTTTGTGGCTGTCTTCTGACTTTTACCATCAAAAAACATCTCTCATTTCCATTACAAGTATGCACTACATAACTTGGTAGAACTGAAGCCTAAGGACATGACAAATATCAGTCAACAAGATTTTTTTTACATCCTAAAATTGACATTTTCCAGGGATTTTGTCTTATGAAGAAGCCACTGGTTTCAGAATTGGAAAGCTTTGTCCATCTCATTGAGTACACAAAAAAATGGGTATCTGTAACATCAGACATAGTATTGATTGGAAGGAAAAGTAAACTGACATCCAACAGATAAATACACTCCACTTATGAAAGTTACTTCTCATTTGTTTTTCACACTGGTGATATAAATATTGTCTTTATCCCATAGCTTCTTATTTCATTGCTCACAATGTTTTAAATGAAAGCACTGTGCTGTTCATGTGTATATAACTAATTTAAATTCACAGAAGAAATACACCAGAATGAGCTTCATTTTGAGTTAAATCCTGCCAGATGTTGAGGATTCTTAATTTCCGTCGATGTCAATGGGACTCAAGGACAATTCACTGTTTGGCACCAAGTACTCAATGCCAGCCACTCCACAGTGCCTCTGGCACTACGTGTTCAAATGCACCATCTCCAAGGATATCATTAATGCTGGTACACAAAGCCAGCAATTGGCCTGTGTACCTCCAAAGCTTCATGTTGGCTGTATTGATCACCATCCTGCCAGGCAGTGAACTCCTTTCACAGGAACTGGTTCTGGAAATCAACATACGCTACTGGTGATCCAAGAGGCATCAGACACCATCTGGGTATGCTCCTAGTTAAACCACAAAGCTGATGATCTTTAAGAAAATTGCTCAGTAAGGTACATTTGTCATATGTGAGTTGCTGTTCAGACATTGGGCAGTAGAATAGGGCCTGTACAGAGAAAACATCATTAGTCCAGAAACATCTTAGTAAATAGACAACAGGGGAATATGCACAAAGAAAACAATACGATAAAAGTTCAAGATCAATAACAGAAGTAAATTTTTCTCCCATTCAAGAATATTTGTAGGATTAGAAGAATCTACCTTCATTCTGCAAATACAAAACCTTTTAAAATGTCTTTTAAACCTGAGACAGACTCTTCAACCCTTAAATAGTCTAGCTATTTAACATATCAGTTTCCAAAGTCTAGGAGAAGCTATCATCTCCTGAGCTATGGAGTTGGTCTCTCTTCAGCCCCAAAATTTTGTGATTTATTTTGTGATTTGGATGAAAATGAAATAACTCCTGTAGCCATGGCTGGAAGGGGAGCCTGACTGACATGCAGGGTTTGTGTCACTTACTCACCTGGTAGGAGACCTTGCTTCAGACACAAGCAAGGCAGAGTTTCATAATGAAAATCCATATGTGGAAATATTGCTGTCATCATCAAGGTCTTCTGACTGTACAAGAAGAGAAACTGTGTTTCTAACTGAGGTTAGACAAAACGTCAACTCACATATAGCTGAATCTCCTGTAGAGAAAGCAGGCTCTAGTTTTAACATGAACTAGCTGGTTAGGGTGAAGACTTTGCAGAAGTCTGGAATTTGCCTTTACTCGCTAGTTTTTTAAAGTGTAAAATTTTCCACTAGGAAGCAATGCATCTTTTTTCCAACATACTAAAGATGAATCTTTTGAAGGAAAAACTTTCTAAAAACATAGGGCAAATGTGGGTGTTATCAACAGCCTAAGTTTCTTGCACATTAAACCGTCTTGCTAAATGTAGTATTTTTTCCTTATTCTTAGTTTATACAGTATGAGTCTATTGTTTAAATCATATCTACTCTCTAGATTTTTGCTTAGAGTGTGGATTATTCAGGATATGGAGTGAACATACTATTTTTGGAACTTTTTGTGATATCTGATTTCATAAAAAGATTGTGACATATCAGACCCTAAACAAGTGTACTTTTTGCTTGTCTCTGTTGCTAAATTTAACTTAACTCTCCAGAGATTAAATACAGATTCATTAAGCTGCTGCACGCTTTTATCCATTCTCGTGTTCCTGAAAGATTTCTCATTTATTACAAAGAAAACATGGCTAATTGTTAATTAGAAAGTGCATACAAATGTGATAGGATTTAATTAACTCAAACAAATACAACTCAAACTTTAATAAAAAGATTTAGTTGTGTGTGTTTTTTTCTCTCTCTCCCCTCCTTTTCTTTTTTTTTTTTTTTTATTTCCTGAGAAAAGTATAGATTCACGAAAGTCCTATTTAACATCCCAGTTACTCTGGGGCTTTGGTTTACAAAGAAAACCCTTAAATACAGTTGAAAATCTCCAGTCTGTGCTTCAACCTTTGCTGAAACAGTTTTCCAAAGTTCTTTCAACAAGAAAAATATCATAAGAAAGCAAGTCCATAACTATTAGATTCCCCACAGAAAATAAATAAATAAATAAAAATCCTTTATATCCTGGAAATGCTAAAATTTACTTTTCAAATAAAATGATTGATTTCAAAGACATTTTACATCAAATTATTTTGGTTGTGTAGGTTATAGCTTGACTCAGCAGCAACCACATTGCGCAGAATCTCTGCCAAGTCAAGTTAATATCAAATTGGGATCTCTCTTCCCATTGACCTCTGAATATTCAGGAACATGAAGAATCAGGATGTAAAATACGCAGAGTACGCAATAGAATCCTAGCATTTGGGACTCAAAGCTCCCAGCTTACCTTTCTAGTAAATTCAGCTTGTAATGTTACAGACTAATTAATAGGTTTTAAAAATAACATTAAAGATAAATTACCATTTAAGTTAAGAGATTAAAATTTACAGTTTTAATTCAGTGTATAATTTAGGCTTAAATGAATTTATGTGAAATCTGAGAAACAGCAGAAAAATATATGAATTGCATATAAAAGTGGAAGTGTTTGAAAGACTTCAGATTGATGGATGCAATAAAATGAAAATTTCTCTTTATCACACACTGTTTGAATAAAAGTTACTGATTCCTTCTGGCAGGTGTCCAATGATAGTCTAGCAGGAGGCATATATTTTGTCTGTAACAGAGCTCCTGAAAAATAGTGGAATATGAAGGATTTACTGGAAAGTCTCTCAGATTCATTCACAAGTTTCTCTCTGATGGAAAGCCCTGTTGGTGAAACTTGTGCTGTATTAAATTTGCTCTTATCTACTATTTAATAATTACAGGGTACATCTAATTTCCCACTTCTCAGTTTAAAAAGAAGGAAGGAAATGAATATTCCACTCCCTTAAAGTGCATTGGTATAGGGGCTTAAAACAAACACAAAAAGTGATACTGCATAACATAATCTAGAGATAGACCAAAGAGATTTTAAAAACTATAGAAATAACTGCAAAATTAAGAATCCAAATGGCCTCAAGAATCCATACATGTCAAACAGTCCTAGGGTCATAATATACCTGCTGTTTCTATGTTGAGGAAGAAAATCAACAAAAGAAAGGGGAAAAAAAAAAGTTTAATCTGAAGTAGTAGTAGAGATCAGACTCTTAAAACATGGGTAACTATCTCTGCTTTGTAGAGGGCATTTATTGCTTGTAGACAGGTATTCAGACATTGGTCCCTGAAACAGTTTTTAAATCTGCATAGTGTGCTAATAATACACCAAGAAGTACAATGTTCTACTGGTAATTTGCAGAAACAGAGAAAGAGTCTTTTGTGTATTAATAAAAAAAAAAATACATACGGGGCCAAAAAAAAAAAAAAAAAAATGAAGACTAAAGCCAAAAGAATCTGGGTTGGATCTGCTGATCTGCCAGTTTTTCTACAGAAGTTTCAGTATTTCAATATCTTGTCTTGCAAACTGCTACATTTCCATATCCATACTATTTTTTTCAAAAGGAAATGATTTTACATGCAGGTTTGAGGACTCACCACTTTCAACACAATCTGCAAAACTCAGTTGCTCTGGACTGTGCACCATCACAAGGTACCTATGCATCACCATCTTGCAGGTTAAAAATAAAATTAAATTTAAAAACAAAAAAAAAGTGTGTGTGTGGGGGGGGAAGGTGAAAGGAAGGGAGAGGCAGAAAGATCAGGCTTACACAGAGTTGGTCATCCACTTTTCTGGTCACCCATCCCATCAGTGCCTTAGGCATGAGAGACTATCCTTTCTGCTTAGCTGAAATATCTTACATTTGTAATTGCAGCTCTACTGTGATTAATATTGCATTCTTCCCAGTGCAGTCAGCATATCAGCTGCAAAATTAGAAGGGATGGTAAAGCATTCAGTGAATCTCTCTATCTTACTTATGTTCTTTTTAAAAAGTTATCCTGCAAATCTTTATAAATTGTAGTTAAAAAAAAAAAAATCAAATACACAAAGAAGCATGTTCTCTATTTACCATTTTTCATGGGTTGAGAAAAACCATGCCACTTTATGACCCTAATAACTAGTGTGACTTTGAACACCATAATACAAAACATCTGTGTCCACTCCCACAGTGACCAATGAGAGCTAATTTTCTATAGCCAGGACAAATTATTATCTTCAAGGATGATAGCATCTGTCTCTGTGATGTATAAACATGTCTTCCCCTTTGGCCTAAGAGAAGATTCATCTAAGCAAGGGAGCAGAAGCAGGGGCATTATAGCAAGGATACCCCTTGTGGGAAACCAGCTGTTAGCTATTTATCTTTGTATGGCCGATGAGCCTTTATCCAACATACAGCTGTTCCTTACTCTCCTCCTTATTAGCTACACCTGCCTCAAGCAGATGAGTGTGATTGTTAAATGCTTTTCTGAGTATTTAAAGTTTTATACCTGTTTTTAGTATTCCCTTATTCTGACAGGTAGTAGTTTAAAGACATTGTCAATTTATCTTCACAGTAAAAAATAGACAGGCTTATTTTTATTTTCATAGAGATGAATGAATTAAATATTTCATGTATTTTAAGGTATTACAAATCCAGGCAAGACAGCTGTTTTCTTCTATCTGTCTATGAATTCTTAATGCAGCTATAACATTATGTGACCTCAAAATTTTTACTGAGGCTGAAATTTCCCATAGGAAACATGTTCTTCTAAGCATATGTCACACAATTCTTCCTCTTTGTATAAGACAGCTAAACATTTAGTGGCCAGTTAGGCCAATTACAGTGCCATTTTTCCAGTCAGATGACAGCACTGGTTTTGGCAGCACAAAAGCAGATAGCACATTTTCTATCCACTCACATGGTCTTATACTGGATACATAAGGTACACTTGCTTCCCACCCTACCTTTTGTTATAATTGTTCTTAAATCTGTTCTCATCTGCAGTGAATACTCATATCATTTAGCAATTTATTTATTTATTTTTTTGAAACAGTGCCTAAAGGCCCTGTCAAAAACTCGAACTGCCTTTTCTAGGTATTGCATAAATATGCAGCATGATATTGTAGGCTATACAGATAGAAGATTGGAGGTGAGAATTAACAGATCTAGGAATAGAACATGGGCATCCCAAATACCCACTCAGTGCCCTTTTTGTTTTTCTATTATATAAATGATTGATTCATGATTGTTGTAACATTTACATCTGAACCCAACAAATCATTTTTGGAAAAACTGCTGCCCAGAATTACAAAAGCACCTAATGTCACTAAACACAGAGTCACAGATATATTTTGCTGGGGTTTCAACTATGTCACATCCCTTGACCAGAAGCCACACAAGTGTCTGAAATTCCATCCAACATACATCATGGTTGACGAGTATATTGAGAGTAAGCACACAGTAGTCAAAATTCATGTGACATGAAAGCTGCTTTCAGTTTTCAAGCAGATGAGAAAGAGCAGACACTGAATACAGCTGAGGTTTCCATTCATTTTATGCCAGGCACTTACTTTCTGGCATATTCTCAAGGAGGGCTGCCTATAGCCATGGCAACTGGAGACTCCAGGACCTGAGCCTTGTCTTGTGTCCTTGACTGTTTTGTTGGGAGCCCAGAACCCTTGTCAGAGTAGTAGCAGTGTTCATGAAGCACAGCTTCTCTCCTGACACCATTTCTTGCTGGCTGGACCTCCATCCTTTCCTGAGATCCCAAAAGCTGCAAGGCTGCCCCTGTGTCTCACTAACTTCATTTATCAGTGGTTTATTCCTCTAATGCTCAGAAAAAACATGAAATGATAATTGCAAATCATTCCAATAGATAAGCAGGTCAAATAAAGTAGTGTCTGGTAATTCATCTTCCCCACTTCTTGGAATTAACGGGACTTTCTTGTAGATTGAGAATAAATTAATCATGATTCTATAAACCAGAGAACACTGGTAAACTCAAACAGAATAACGAGTACATGACAGGAAGTAGAGCATATCATATGCAAGGATGTATTTGCTCATTAAGCACTACACATAAATATGCAACCTTCTATTCTGAAGGACGTGAAGGATGGGTTGTAGGTGGAAAACACTAAAGAGTAACAAATAAACATTTGCTCTTATTCAACCACCCACGTTTTTTCTTGTAAAAATAGATACATGCAGACAGACAGAGAAACAAATCAAAAATGGGGGCAGAGGCATATGCAGAACATATTCACAAAGATTTAAATAAGGAATGTTTGGCCCTTTGGGATATGAAGGTTGTCTGAACTTCGCTATCTAATTGGGAAAGGATTTCAGCTGCAATTCAATTATTTAATACAGTTTACATTCGTTTTTCTGCAAGAATGATTGCTGGGGGGGGAAGGGGAAGGAAGACAAATTACTATTTTTCTTCCCTCTACCTGTTGTCCTCCCCATAGTCATCTAGATGCAGTACAGCAGGACTTCTGAGACTGAAAGTGCTCTTTGGCCACACACTAATACTAATGTTATATGCTGTATTATGAACTCTGTTCTTTCTGGTCAGTTCTTGCATGTTGATTCTTAGTATTGCACTTACTGTAGCGTGCTTTTGCTTAGAAACTTCTGAATTACATCATCTAGGGAGGCTTCTATAGGTTTCTATACTGAATTCCTTCTTATTCTCAAGAAAAAAAAAAATGTAGTGTCTTTATACATCAACTGTGGAGGGCTATGTGCTTGGCTATCTGTAATCTGAAGCTGATAGCATTTTAGAATCTGATGTAGGATTGAGTGACAATCAGCTAATGAGGTCACCTCCTCTAGGGTCTTGCTCATCTCTCCAGAGCCACAGCAGTATAATAGGTTGTAGAAGGTAGTTATGAAATCATTTGCTGTTCTACCTTCCTCTTACTTGTACAAACGAAAATCTCACTGTGCCACAGCAAAAAAATATTATCAAAATGCTGTTTTGAAGAGCCATGCAGCTTCTGAAAACTAAAATGTCTTTGCTATATACCTCACTGTGTAGGGTAAGGCATGTTTTCCTTCTCATTGCTAATGTAAATTAAAAGTCTTCTAGAGTCTCTGGAGTCAGTTTTTCCAAAGTCATCTTCTCTCTGAGTCCTAGAGACTAAAATTTGATCACAGTTATTGGTTAAGTCTTTATAAGATGTAGCTATTTCTTATTGTTCTAATAACAATTTGCCTCCATTTTCTCAATCTAGGTTGCTTAAGAACAAAATCACAGAATCACAGAATTGAAGGGATTGGAAGGGATAAATCTTTTTGAGATGGAAGATTGTTATTTCCATGGTGAACTTAAAAACAACTTCAGTTTCTTGACTTCTCCTCAAACTCTGATGACTAGTGAACTCACCCCAGCATGTTTCTTCAAGTGCCATCTATTTTTTATATTCCTTAAAGATATAATATCCTGTAGCCTCAAGCAAATCTACCCATTTTAGATGCTGTCTGAAGTTTTTTAGAGGGATATTGTTAGTTTTTATGTTTGAGGCTTTTTAAAAAACATTAAGTGAGGATTATAGAGGACAGACAACAGAGTGAGCATAAAATTGCCTTTATTTCCTGCTTACATATCCCCTCCTCTTTGCTGTGTCCACCAGTGTTGAAGCATAATTAGTATCCTTATGCTCTGCTGATGTTGATATACTTAAAGTCTCCTTTGGTGGTTATTGCGTAGGCCATTTAGTTATGTGTCTTCCTTTTTCTCTTTTGAATTCTTGATCTTTGGTATACCAGATGACATCTTAACCTTTTTCTAGGACTTGAGCCAACTCCCTGTTAAACTTCTGGAAGCTGGACTAGTCCCTTAAGGATGAAGTAAAAAAACAAATATTATTCCATGTTAACCAAATGCCCATTTCCCATTCAGTATGATTTAGAAAAGAAAAAGAATAACACTGTTGACAAATTATTTCCCCTGGTCATCATGTACATGATGACTGCACTCACTGGACCAACCAAACTGTACTAAGCTATAGAATTGTTATGAAGAAAAACATGTTATAGAAAAGCTTTGGAACTGTTATGAAGAGTTGAAAAGTAATCCTAAAAGTATCTTTTCAAGTTGTGTGATTAAGAGCTTTCTTTCAATCTCATAGAAACAGGCATAGTCTGAAAATCAATGGGGATTGTTTCCAATGTATGGACGTTAGTCATTTGTGTTTAATCATGATTAAATTGTCATTTTATCATGTTAAGTGTATATTCAATATTTCATATTTATAATATGCTTCATATATTGCACCACAGAGAAACCAAACATTTATGAGAACAATCAGGCAAGTCTTTATTTAACATTTTTCTTCCATTGTTTCAAGCCAGTAAAAATAATAAGTTAACTCATCTTGGTATAGAAATAGCTTTCCAGTGGTCATTGATAAGACAGTGCTCACACAATTTACCCTTAAAATGTTGGTGTTTTTTGATTATTTTTTTTCACAACCACTAGGAAAAAAGAAAAAGCCTAAAAACCACCAGTTTCACTTAGGTTCGATGACAGTTCCAAGAAACATATCTTTAAATGGTAAAGCAGATGTATCATGAATCCACCTTAATATGTTGTAAGGAAATTTACCTTTTGTCATCTGAGGTGACTAACTCGTAGCTCAGTTATTCAGAGCCAAAAAGATCAAATAAAATCAGAGGCAGGGGAAGGAATCCCACACTTGTCAATTATGTGTGTATTTTTTTCTTTCATAGATGAAGATGTTCTAAACATATAGTTAGGTCTTTGATGACCATATCTACTAAGAATAAGGAAATACGAAAGAGCAAGTTTTACACAGTTGAGTTTCTTCTACTGTTCTGTGATTCTTATTCTTTGCTTCAGAAAATGCCAGGAAAAAAAAAAAAAAAAACATGGAACACCTCACAATTATGGAAAGAAACTCAGCCTTTACTTTAACATCCACCAGTCATCCCTTCACTCAGTGTAGATGGTTCATTTGCTGTCTTCCTTAGAAACTAGTCATGATGTGAAAGACCAGTAAGGCAAACTCACACACAAAGGATGATTCATGTGTATCAACAACAATTGTGGCTGGAAAAAAAGGTGGTACACGGAGCATGTGAGGCAACATAAGGACGTGTATCAAAGACACCTTGGAAGGGCCCTTTTATATCTTTCATGGAAAAGTTGGCTATCTCACAAAATGATGACATCGGGTTTCTGGTACCAAAGTAACTAAGCAACAGTGCAGCCATCTTGTTCACCTTCCACTTTCCCACATCAGTGGAACCAGGTGGACAGGAGTACTGAGTGGTTCTATGCAGCACAGACTGGATTTTTGTCCCAGCACACGGGAAAT